CTATGAGCCTTACCAATACATAGTTCAAGAACTTTAGTCCTTCTACCATCCTACGATGAAGATTCTATTATTATTTCCATTTTACAAGTTAAGAAGCTGAAATGTTATGTAACTTACCTAATTTTACATATATGTTAGGAATCTATGACTGTGTAACAAATTATCCCAATTTAGTGGCTTAAGATGATACACATTTAATAGCTTCCCATTTCTGTAGGTCTGGAATGCATATGTGGCTTAGCTGAGACCTCTGGTTCCTGGTCTCCCCAACACTGAAGCCAAGGGATTGGCTGGGATGCGTTCATTTCAGAGCTTAGCTGTGGGAGGATCTTGTCCCAAGCTCACTCCTGTGATGGTTGATACGCTTTAGTTTCTCGACCACCCCCAGTTCCTTCCCATGGGAGCCTCTCCACGGAGCAGCTCATAACATGGCAGCTGGAATTCCCCAGAGTTAGGACTGAAGGGGAGGGAGAAAGGAAGGAGAAAAAGATCTTTCCATTGATCTTTTTAGCCATAGATCCTCACCCAGTATCTGTCACAGTACAGGTGCTCAGTAATCAATAAAATCAATTTGCATAAAAACAAAAGATACATTATTTTATGTTGAGAAAATATTAGAAAGTCCATAATCCCTCCGAAGGCACTTACTTTTTTACTGTTTGAATTTTTGACAAAAAAAAATCAGATTCCCTAATCCAAAATTCTCATGCTTTAAATCTCAATAAGTAAACTACTAAATAGCTTTCGTTAATTATTTTTCAAAATCAACCAGTCATATACTGATGTATTTATTTTTTCTCAAGCATTTGAGGCCAAGCACAATGGCTCATGCCTGTTATCCCAACACTTTGGGAGGCTAAAGTGGAAGGATCAATTGTGGCCAAGAGTTTCAGACAGTCTGAGCAACATAGCAAGACCCCATCTTTACAAAAAAATTTTAAAAGCTTAGCAGGGTGTGGTGATGTCTGCCTGTATTGTAGTCCCAGCTACTTGGGAAGCTGAGGTGGGAAGATTGCTTGAACCCAGGAGTTTGAGGCCACAGTGAGCTATGATGCTATCACTGCCCTCCAACCTGGGCAATAGAGCAAGACCCTGTCTCAAAAAAAAAAAAAAAAAAAAAGGCACCAAAATCTTCTGTGAACTTTCATATGAATTAAGTTTTGTTTGTTTTTTTTTAAATTATTATACTTTAAGTTCTGGGATACATGTGCAGAATGTGCAGGTTTGTTACATGTGCCATGGTGGTTTGCTGTACCCATCAACCTGTCATGTAGGTTTTAAGCCCTGGATACATTAGGTATTTGTCCTAATGCTCTCCCTCCCTTTGCCCCACTCCCTCACAGAGCCCAGTATGTGATGTTCCCTTCCCTGTGTCCATGTGTTCTCATTGTTCAACACCCACTTATGAGTGAGAACATGCAGTGTTTGGTTTTCTGTTCCTGTGTTAGTTTGCTGAGAATGATGGTTTCCAGCTTCATCATTCCCTTCAAGGATATGAACCTTCTTTTAGGCTGTATAGGTATTCCATGGTTATATGTGCCACATTTCTTTATCCCAGTGTTTTTTTGTGGGATTTGGGTTGGTTCAAGTCTTTGCTATTGTAATAGTGCGCACTAACTTCATTGGTGGCATGTGTCATTTTGTAAATGTTTAATCCTTTGGGTATAAACCCCGTAATGGAATTGCGTGGTTCAAAGGTATTCCTGGTTCTAGATGCTTGAGGACGCCCCATTGTTTCACCAATGGTGCGAACTAATTTACACTCCCACTAACAGTGTGAAAGCATTCCTATTTCTCCACATCCTTTCCAGTATCTATTGTTTCCTCACTTTTTGATTATCACCATTATAACCGGCATGAGATGGTATCTCATTCTAGTTTTGATTTGCATTTCTCTAATGACCAGTGATGATGAGCTTTTTTTCATATTTCTTTGCCGTGTAAATGTCTCACATGAATTAAGTTTTAAATTATATTATACAAGTTGCTGGTATAATTCTGAATTTTGTACATTTGGTAATTTATTTCCAAGGAGGGAGCACATTTAGGGATAAAAACGGTTGTCCTTTTAGTCTCACTTTATAAAATATTCATTAGCTCAAGTGAGGAAAGCAACATATTGAAGAGATAATAAAATACTGTTATGTTTTAAAAATGTTTTTGTCCCTGACTTTGAATTCCTTATGAAAAGAAGAATTTTAAGAACATTTTCTACTTATAACCATTTTATGAAAATTCATATTTTATGTATGTAATAAAGAACTAATGCAAACATGTGAGTTTTGTTAGTAGATGCTCCACCTTCTAAATGTACAATTATCCTATATTTACATTTCTCTCAATTACCTTTAAATCAGATATCAGAAAACTGTGGGCCACAATTCAAATTCGGCCCACAACCTGTTTTTGCTTTTGTAAGTAAGTATTTTAGACTATCTTATTTCCTCATAATGATCACCAACATTTATCACTATATGCTAGGACAAAGATCAATTCTTCTCAGATTCAGTATTTTTGAAGACTCCTTCTTCTCTTCCTCCTTCCCTTCCTCCTTCTCCTCCCTTTCCTCTTCCTCTTCCTCCTCCACTTGTTTTAGAGACAAAGTCTCACTGTCACCCAGGCTAGATAGAGTACAGTGGAGCTCACTGTAACCTCAAACCCACCTCAGCCTCCCAGTGCATTGGGAGTAGCTGAGACTACAGGCATGACCTAACATGTCCAGCTAATTTTTAAAATTTTTTATAGAAATGGGGTCTCACCCCATGACTCTGGCTGGTCTCAAACTCCTAGTCCTAAGCCATGCCCCTACTCTGGTCTCCCAGAGTGCTGGGATTACAGGTGTGAGCTATCATGGCCTGCCAATAAGTTGTTGTGAAGCACAATCATGCTATTTTGTTTCTGTATTTTCTATGGCTACTTTCATGATTCAGTGGCAGAGATGAGTACTTGCGATAGAGACTGTATGACCTGCTGAGTTTAAAATATTTACTCTCTGGCCTTCACAGAAAAAGATTACCAACCTCTTTCTGAAAATGTTAAGCATTTTTATTCATGAACATGGTATAACTCTCTAATTATTTAGGTCTTATTTGGTTCTCAATGACTTTCACAATTTTCAGTGGGTTGGTCTTGCACATATTTTGTTAAATTTATTCTAAATATTTCATGTTTTTTGCCAATATATTTTCTTTTTAATTTTTATTCCCAATTGGTTGTTACTATTATATGTAAATGAAATTGACATTAATTTTTGTATATCGACGTTGTGTCCCATGACTTTGCTAAACTCATAGTTATAGCAACTTTTTTGTTTACACTTTTTGATTATGTAGAAAATAATGTTATCTGTCAGTAAAATTGATATTCTTATCAGTCTACATTCATGTAATTTCATTTTTCTTTTTTTTTTTTTTTTTTTTTTTGAGACGGAGTC